TAGCAGTTCGAAAGCAAGAAATTGCAAGTAGATAAATAGGTACCATTTCGGTGGGAAGGTAATAGCGTTCCGTGCGCCTTGGTGTTTAGTCATGCCGGCCACATGACCACGGAAACGTCTTCGGACAGCGCTGGCTCTTCGGCTTTGAAACGGAGATGAGCACCGCAACCCTAGAGTCGGATTCGACTGGCTTTCGAGCAAGGGAACCTTTACTATACCTTTATCCCAGTAGAATTATCAATTACATGAAAATGAACTTTAAATTGTTAGATCCCAAATCATTACCCTAAAATTAAACTTTGTAGCAGGTTTACCATTAATTTTTTAAAGTACTTAAACCTGAACAGTTCTGAAAATAGGTAAATAATTTATTCCTTGGAAACAGCTAAAATTTCTAGGAGTGCAACAATGTTAGAAAAGTACTCATTTAGCATTAAGAAATATGAGGGCTGTAACTTTTCATGTTAATATAGATTAGATTATTCTAACATATTGGGAATAGAAGCTTTGGAGTACTGCTAAGGGTGGGTGACAAGCTGAAGAAGGAAAAAGAATATACTATACAATAGAGTAGGATAGACAGATCTAGCCCAGGTAGCTGTACTGGCTCCAAGGCTTGTGGGGGGGGGGCACATCTCAGATTCAATCACAGAATTGGAAGGGGCCATCCAGGCCATCCAGTCCAACCCCCCTGCTCAGTGCAGGATCAGCCTAGAGCATCCCTGACAAGTGTTTGTCCAGCAGCTGCTTAAAGACTGCCAGTGAGGGGGAGCTCACCACCTCCCTACAAGATTCCACTGTTGAACAACTCTTACTGTAAAACGTTTTCCCTAAGATCCAGCAGGTACCTTCCCACCCTTAATTTAAACCCATTATTGCAAGTCCTATCCTCTACTGCCAACAGGAACAGCTCCCTGCCCTCCTCTAAGTGACAGCCCTTCAAATACTTGGAAGAGAACAATCCCGTCCCTCTTCAACCTCCTCTTCTCCAGACTGAACATTCCCAAGTCCCTCATCCTTTCCTCATAGGGCTTGGTCTCCAGGCCCCGGATCATCCTCATCACTCTCCTTTGCATGCACTCCATTCTGTCCACATCCTTTTTGAAGTGAGGCCTCCAGAACTGCACACAATACTCCAGGTGCAACCTGACCAATGCAGTGTACAGTGGGACTATGACATCTCGCGATCTGTTGATACACCCCATGATTGCATTAGCCTTTTTTATCGCTGCATCACACTGGCTGCTCATACTTAACTTTTGGTTCATCCATACCCCCAAGATCTTGTTCACACACAGTGCTACCCAGAAGTGTATCCCCCGACCAGTATGTGTGTTCCTCATTTTTGTTACCCAGATGTAGAATTTGGCACTTATCCTTGTTAAATTCCATCTTGTTCACATCTGCCCACTTTTCTAGTGTGTTCGCTGCTCCTTCCAATTTGGTGTCATCTGCAAATTTAATGAGTAGCCCCTCCACACACCCATCCAGATCATTTTAAAAACATTGAAAAGTACCAGGCCCAGAGCTGAGCCCTGTGGCACCCCACCGGACACCTCCTTCCATTCAGATGAAATATCATTGACAGCTACTCTCTGAGTGCAGTTCTCCAACCAGTTCCCTATCCACTTCACTATCCTACAGTCCAGTCCACAGTCCTCTAGTTTACCCATCAGAATATCATGGGTAACCCTGTCAAAAGCTTTACTGAAATCCAGGTAAACAACATCAACAGCATTCTTTGATCTAGTCAGCTCATCATTCGATCAAAGAAGGAAATGAGGTTGGTCTGGCAGGACCTGTTGGGGTCAAATCCGTGCTGACTTCCCTGGATCACCATGTTGTCCTTCAGATGCTTGCAGATTGACCCCTTTAAAATCTGCTTCGGTATCTTCCCTGGGACCTCTGGGTCAGACTCACTGGCCTGTAGTTTCCTGGGTCATCCCTCCTCCCTTTTTGAAAATTGGGATAACATCTGCCCTCCTCCAGTCTTGTGGCACATTTCCCATCCTCCAAGAGGTCTGGAAGATGATGGACAAATGCTCTGTAAGCTCTCTAGAAAGTTCTTTGAGCACCCTTGGGTGAGTACTATCTGGCCCTGGGGATTTGTACTCATTCAATGCAAGCCAGGTACTTCTCAACTACCTCTCTGTCCATGCCAACCAGAAGCCCAGACGTCGTGCCTTGCCTACTGTCATCTCTAGATGAGCCTGTTCTCTTTACAGGAAAAAAACTGAGGCAAAATAAGCATTAAGCCTTTCTGCTGTCTCTCAGTCCTCTGTCAGAGTTTCTCCATTTTCACCCAGCAGTGGGCCCATCACCTCTTCTATCTTGCATTTGCTCCTCACATACCTGAAGAAGATTTTCTTGTTGTAGTGAGCCTCCCTAGCTAGCTTTAGCTCACTGTGAGCTTTGGCCTCTCTGATGGCTGACCTACAGTGCCTAGCAACCCACAGATACTTTTCTTTAGAGGTATGTCCTTGCCTCCATTTCTTGAACATTTCCTTTTTCTCCCTTAGCACATCACACAGTTCTCTGTTCATTGTTACGCCAACTGCTTTATTTACAGCAGAGGCTAACTAAATTTAACGTGAGTCCTGGCCAGCTATACCAAGGTCGTGTCTGAACCCAGAGTTCCAGTAATGGAGACCACACGGGTGTTTTTCCAAAACAAATAATCTTTTTACTGAAGGATATCAAAGTCACACATACAAAATAATCAGTCTCACAATAGCATACGTTCAAGTTCCTTTAGGGTTGCAGAAATAGAAATAAAATAGTTTCTCAGTTACTTGGAGGTAGGTAGGTAGGTAGCTATTTCGGTTTATACTCGCCTGTTCCTTAAGTCTTGTCTGTTGCAATGGAAATGGGGTAGAAAGTGATACCTAGGGGTTTAAACTAAATCACACCTGCTAGAACCAGCTAAGCAAGCATGGATCTCTTTGGCTGCAGTCCAAGAGATCTTAAAGTAGACAAAGGGATTGTTGGACAGAAAGCTGGACCTTAGGAGTAGTAAAGAAGATAGAGGTCGTGGAGAAGGGAGGTGGCTAGCCAAGAACTAGGGTTTGGGTCTACTTTTATAGTTGAATCTCCAGGTGGGTGGCACCTTGCCAAACTGTAATCCCACCTACTTACAAGTCCATCCCATAGCTTCCCTCATTGGTGCATGTGGAAAGGGGCAGGTATTCTATGGGTTGGGCCAATATTTTAAATACTACACGCTATCTCATGGAATGCCGGCTGGCCAGGTGTGAAGTCTCAGCTTCCTGTATCCTCTTTGAAGTACAGATGAATCTTGGCTTTCCCAGGCCTACAAGGTACCATCAACAGGAA